GAAAAAAGAAAATCATATGGGCAACATCTTTGAAAAGTGCGTAAATTACGACAACTTTTCCTTTTTGGAACCAAACAGGTAGAGCCACTAACACACACCAACAGTTTACTCACACAAGGACAGGATATTTAAAAAATAAACACACACACACAATAGCACTATTGACTCAAAGATTTTAAGTGCTAAGAGTGAGAAAACCTGAATGTGTAAAAATTGCCAGGGGAAACCTGGAATGCCGTAAAATACATGTGGCATGAGCTATGATGCTCAGGCATTACAAAAGTGTGTGTTTGTGTGCGAGTTTGCCCTGTGCTATTCTTCCCCAAAAGACAAGACTAAACAGTTTAAAATGCGTTTCCACTGAGGTGTGTTTGTTTGCCGGTGTGGGCGGCACAACACAAAAGCCACAGTTACAAGGTTTGGCGAGTCACTCGGTTCCTTGTTCTGTAGACGCTCGGGCCCAAAACCTGAATGCGTTAAAATAACACAGGACTGTGCTGAAAGCTTTTGCACTGGGAGGTAGAGACCGAAATTGAATGAAAAAAAAAGAGTCTGAAAACCGATTATGACCATGTGCTTCAATGGCTTTTCCAGGAGAGTGAAGAGACTTGACCAGAAAATCATTTCAGCGTGTAAATGTGCATTAAAATACAATGTTAGAAACCGCCACAGGCCCTTGAAAAACATTTAGGATTGAATGCATTCAGTACGTTTACAACACTACATGTCAAAACCTGTCATAGAAATGAATAGAGGCATTGCTGTGGCTTGAAAGGGAAGAGGTTGTAATACAGGACAACGACTGTTATGAGATTATCTTTGACAACGCAACTTTTTTTTTACATGTTGCGAGCTGGATTCGAACTCATTTCGCCCAAGTGAGCACCAAACTTCAATATGTTTTATCTGCCTGCAAATCACAAAACAAGGAAGGATTTTAAAATCTTTCCAATGCCACATTAAATGAAAGTACTAAAATGTGACTTAATTTTATTTCACCAACAAACGCATTGTAAAATGACCCAATATATCGAGTTCTCTCTGTTTCCAACACAAGCCCCTCGCACAGACGATTCCTCAGGCAAAGCTTGAGCATTCATCTCAGTGACAAGCATTGAGAAGAGTAGAGCTGGTTGGCCGACACACTCAATCCTTAAAAACAGTCCCACTGGATTATTGAGGAATGTCAGCTTCGAGCAGGCCCTAAATCAATTATGGGAAATCTGCACGCCTGCATTTCCCCACATCTTTCCCTTCTGTCACTTCATACCTCTGTTTCTTTCCATCTTCCACTTATTAATGTCTTCTATTCAGCTCTTTTTCTCCAAACTCGGTTCTACACAACGCTTTTTAAAGTTATCTGGATGGTTGTCCTCGCTGCTAGCTGAATAGAAATGTGAATAAAAATCCAACAACAAGCATGAGGTCTGAACTGAACTCAATGGCTTTGGCTAATCTTGTGCAGATCTGAGTGTAAGGCCACAAAACACTTAAAGAAAAGGCTTTTTTTTTCTTTATAGCAATTTATTTCATTGATGTGTGGAAGGTCTTTAGCATTCACAATTGTATTCAAGGTTAGTGATTTGAATTAAAGTGTAGGTCTGAACACACACCCACTTTTCACCAACAGATTCAGACTGATATTTCTTTAAATCGTCCAGTTGCAGTGTTGCCATGTTTACATAAGACACATTCTTGCGTTCAAAAACAGATGGGAGGAGCACACTGTGAATGAATTTTTTTTTGTTATATATATATATATATATATATAAATATATGCAAAAAAAAATATTTTAAATGTACTTTTATTTTGTTATAAATAGACTACAGCTAGCCAATCTATCTAAATTACTATTTTGTCATTACAACAGTTCCTATTGCAAAGCACATCACACAATAAATATGATGTAACCTGTCACTCAACAACAATAACCTCATTAATCACAGCATGTTAAGCGTTTCTAAACGTCGAAGAATGTTTAAAAAATTTTTTTAAAGGATTAAAGAATGCTTTTGTTTGTATTCCTTAACTAAAACCACAGGTATTCAAAACTGCACATTCCCTTTGGCAATTTTCTTTTACTTCCCTTTTTTATACACAACAAAAGAAAACTATAAATATTCCATGAAGTCTGTGAATTCAGAGGAGCTTCTCAATTCCACCTCGGGGGTTTCAGAGCAACAGCACAAGAAATGTACATATTAGTTTAGAAGTGACATGATTAGAAGTTCACTCTATGTGCGACTGCGGCATTCAAGGCCTGCTTTGAGTGTTGTGCAATCTCTCAGATATACCTGTAACATGATTTGTGTCTATATAGATAGTTGTTTGGTTAGGAACGTGTAAGTAAATATAAATGTAAACAAACCTCACAGAACCGGACATCAATTTTATTGCATTTGCCCTGTTACACAAATATAGTGCATCATATAAAAGGCAAGAGACCAAAATATTCCTGACATTTTTCAGTAAAATGATTTGAGAAGAAAAATTGCTAATGTAAAAAAAAAAAAACTTTTCTTTTGAAACAGACTCAATCTTTCATCCCATGGTGAAAGTTTAATGGCTTTCGTCCAGACAAAGAACATTTCTCTTTTATATTCAGTTCCCCAAATTCTCCACTTCTACTGTAGAAAACGTTGAACCTATTGAACACCTGGATGACACTGTCAAATTACTCAAATTCTGAATGCAAAAGACTTATGCTTATTCCTGGCAAACATACTCTACGTTTGTGTAAAAGTTGGAGCGCAACCACAGAAGATCATCCAGATTCTGACGGGCTCCCTCAAGTTTTGTTTGGAAACTTCCTTATGTGATTTTGACAGCTGTGACTGAGGCTGTCTGAGCGAGAGCTTAAGATTAGAGTGTAAATATCTGAAGTATGCCAGCTACTCATTGTCTGACGCGCAGCTCGCTCTAGAGGTGGCGATTGACAGGCTAAGCCCATCTGCCTCAATGACCTCCCGTTTCACTCGGTCCACACTGGGATAGATCCGAAAGGCTTAAAGCACGAGAGCCGGAGATATCTCTTACTCCGGGATGATCTGTTTTCAGGAACTTTCAGATAAAAATACGAGCACCAATATGCTCGGGTTCTGGAGGTTATGAACTCGTAGCGATTCGAATACTGTGAGGAATAATACGTTTTAAATGCCTCTTTTTCAAAACACGATGAGGGAAAAGATTAGATATTTGGGTCTCGCGTGTACATCCGGATGCATTCGGTTACTGTGGGAAATCTTTTGACCATCTCCCATCAGCTAAACGAATTAAAATAAGTTATAATCCTTATCCTGAATGACATCATCTGAATGTTCGCTAGTAAACTCATATTAGCCTCTGGCTCTTTAATGCGCATTATATTAGTGGTAACTGAGGGCTTCTGTGCTTGTGATATTGACGTAATTCCCCAACATTGAGTCAAATATGGTTCCGCGAATACTTGGCCGTGGTAAACGAGTCGTAACGGAAATCTTGCACAAGTTTGCGAGTTGCAGGTACAGCCCGAGGCGATGAACCATGATGATTTAAGAAATAGGCTCTTCCCACAACAACACACTATAGGCTGAGGAACAAAAGAGACATGGGTACCACTACTACTATGCATCGCGTCTGTAAGGAGCAGCCATTAGGCTAATGAGGGCCAATGGAGATCCCAATGAAGCCATCAGCATTCACTCAGAATCACAATGTAAGACTAACGCCTCAGGAATTGAATGGAAGGGATTGGGAAGGAGGGAGAACCCGTACGGACGAGTGAAAAGAAACGGAGAGGCCAAGTAAAACTTGCGCGAGTGTCTGGAGAAAGGGGGGGGGGGGAAGAGATTCGCAACTTTTCGCTCAAACGCTTGGCCGTGTCCAATCAAATCACACTGCGATTCAGAGTAAAGCAGGAGGATTAGAGCTCCGGAATAAACAATGGCTGTAAAACGTGTTGATTTGGGGAGACGGCTTACGGTTTAGCCAAAAAAACACTCCCGTTCTCCTTTTTTTCTGTGCAAAGAACCAACCGTTCATTCTCTTTTCCTGCAGAGCGCTGACGCATAACGCCACAGCAAAGCCATACATGAATGCCTGCTGAGTTCTTTGCAAATTGGGTTGAAAAGACCCAATGCTGGGGCTAAAAGGGCAGTCAACCTTTCCCAGACGCGAGCACAAAACTCAAAACACATCTATAGGCAAAATCGGACAAGAAGAGCGAACACCCAGATAGAGTTTCAGTGTGACAGATCTCTTCTCTCGGCCAGTCTAATCTTATTTTGAAGAAAGCTAAACAAGCAGTCTGAATATGCTTAATTACAGCCCAGTGGCAGACAGCACTAAATTAGATTCACTGGGTATTAGATCAATTAGCCAACCATTTTACAGGCAAACATGAGGAATCCAAAGCGAAATGTGAGGCTAAAACACTTTAGACACAAGATTTGGGCAAATCTGATCCGGTAAACGCTGGCGATAACTCAACATGATCTCTTGGACTGCAAATAAATGAATGCGAATCTGTCAAATGCAAGTCAAACAGCTAGAGTACACAATTAAAACCAATTAAACAGTTTAATAGCCTCAAACTTGAACTAATGCTAAAATGACATCAAGTCTCAGCAATCCACTTCCACATGCATATTCCTTAAATAACATGAAATTACACAAATAAAGTCTACAATCAATCCACTTCCACATGCAAATTCCCTAAATAACATGAAAAAAATAAAGTCTACATTGACTGGTGATCTGGTGGCTAAAACTCAATTTCCATTAAAGGGGCCGATTTGTTTATGCTCTCAAATAGGTGGCTTTGGAAAATGGTCGAAACCGTAGACGGTGAAGGAGACAACCATACGATATTCAAAATAGTGGTTGACCAGGGATCCTTAATAAGGAAAAATGTTGGTTTGTGTCCATACGAGGGCCATTATAAACTCTCCTATGACGTTTCTCACTGGCTCTTGAACTCAAGAGATGCACAGAGACAGATAGTGTGTTTAATGGCACTCACCGTTCTTGCGCTAGGAGACAGGGCGCCGTTGGACAGGTAAGGACTGGAAAGATCTGGGATCATTAGAAATGGGTAGCCTGGATAATGTGGGCTCTTAAAAAATCCTCCATCTTGCTGTCTTCTCAAAGCTTTACAGGGGAGAGAGGAATGATTAGGGATCCATGTGTGGACAAACATTTAAGTAAAGAACAAGTATGGCAAGCTGTTTTAACATTTATTCCCATTATTGATACCAATAGAACTTATTTTTGTACCTAATACAATATTAACTAGTATCTTTTTTAATACCATAAGTAACTTTTCATTGTTTTCAGATGTTCACTTCCAACTTCAATGTATTGTAATGGTTTATACAAGCAATTGTTCATTAGACAGTAGTACTTATTTATGACTAACAGCACCTATTCCAGATTTACACCGAGTGTCATAAAAAAAGGTATTAGTATCTATTTTCAATTCCCATCCCTACTCTTTTTCTGTATATCTGTTCACATTGTTGTTTTAAATGTGGCAAATATCAGATTCCAGTGTGAAAAGATCATGGTCCTGAACTCATCTGCATGCACAAAAGACATGTCATAAGGAAGTCAACACGGAAGACATTAAAGTAAGTGATTACGCGTTTATTTATTGTGTGATCTGCCATGGGAGCCAGCGAATTTATGCGCAGGCAGGCAATATTAAAAACAAAGAGGAGGCTGAGAAAAAAGAGATTTTTAAACATTTATGTTTTGCTTGAATATAGAGCTGTCACCATAATACTTATGAGCCCTGACATATTAATGTCCTTCCACTGACTACCTTTCTAACTGTCTTGATAACGTCGGGTATGTAAAATCTTTTAAGTGACTCCCATGAGCGCAGAATTGTGATTTAAAAGACGCTTGAATTCTGATTTGACTGTTCAAACTGAGGTCACTTCGCAAAACATTTGACCTGTATCTGATTTAGTACCACATATGGAAGTGGCCAAATCATAATCGAAAAGATCAGATTCCATGTGGTTTGTGCGGTTCACACTGTCATGACAAAAACGGTCACATAAGAAAAATCAGATTTAGGCCACATTTACCTGCAGTCTGAACGTAGCATAACACTCGTTCTCTCACTGGTTTGTTGTTTTTTTTACTTGTAATATATAATATTTATGACCTCGTAATCTTTAAAGTCGTAGTGATATCAGCATTGACTATTTACTTTGTTACCTCACATTAGTCTTGTGGTGAATAATTAATCAGTGCAAGAAATTAATAAAAATTTCAAATGGCTAACTTACCTTTAGTCTAAATTATAACACTTTTACAAAAAAAAAAACAGATTTGAAACTGATGTAGAATTGGTCTGCACACTAAAAAATAGGTAACAGAAATACTGAAACTATCTGAATAGTTACTATACTGTTTGAAAAAAAGTACTGTGTGAAATTGGAAAAGGAACCAGTCAGAGTAAGATTACTTCCAAGTCATTTAAAAGTACTAGCTAGTAGTAACAAAAACAAACTACTTTTCAAAGAATAATTGTTAAATCGGACTGCCATAGCAGCACCAGAGAGCTCTTACCCTCGGCGAAATACTCTCGGGCTTTCTCATAACTATCATGATCAGGTCTTGGCTGTGGTCTCCTCTCGGTTTGCTGAAGGACAGACGAGGAACGGAGAAAAACAAAGCAGAAAAGTTATTTTTCCGTCGGCAACAACCACATCCATGTGTATGTCAACATGCGGTTGTGTCTGACTTACCTCAGAATCAGATGAACTGCTGTTATTTTCCGACTCGTTCACTAGAGAGGACTTGACATCGTCCAGATCTCTCTCGGCAGAAACGTTTTCGGAGATTTTGTCCTCTTGTTCTCCCTCATCTTTGAATGGGATCATTTCATCGTTCGCCCCCAACTCATCCCCTCCACCTCCGTTAAGTTGTGGCATGTTTACGAGCGTCTTGCAACGGTTACAAAATCTAGAGTTTGTGTTGACTCTGAAGTGCACGAGAACGTGTCAGTGCGGGAAAAAACACACGAGATATTTCAGAAATAATCCTTGACACATGAATTTAAATCCAATTTGTCCATGATTACGTGCGATCACACAAAGCTCGACAGTTTCATCGGTATCCCTGCAACAAACTCCAGTCAAGCGCTGTGTCCTCTTCTGCTTGTCGTCCCGACAAAACTTACCAAACACAAATAAAATAGTATTTTCACCCGATTCTACATTCCACATAGACCGAATGAATCGAGCGCCAAAAGTTGAGCGACTTTTTCTTTAAAAAAAAAAACGCAACCGTCAGTTAAATGCGCGTGAACAAAAGTTGCAACGGTCGCGGTGCCTCCGTAGTCTCTTATCCCAAAGAAAGACGTGTTTTAATCGCGTAAAACACAGATTCCTCCTCAAATCAGCTCGCTTCGTCCACGTTTTGAATCACCACCGTCATGTTTGATCAATGGTCTCTGAAAACGGTGTGTTTGGACGTGAAGAGGTTCCGTTGCCCTGTACGTTGAGCTGCTGATGGGGAATGCGCAAGCACGCAGCAGCGCGTGAGAGTG